GACTCACAACTGCGCCCGTGTAGACTGGCATTCATGAATTAAAAAGGTTCGTTTTCAGTAAGGACTTAAACTGGTATAAAGAATGTGTGCTGGTAATTTATTCCAAACGATAGGGGCAATTCCTGGAAAAAGCTCGATCGCCATATTTTGTATTAATACGAGGTCCAAGGGTTAACTGCAAGGTTGATGATGATCGAAGAGGTCTTAAAGAACTAGAAGAACGTAAGAAAATCAAATCTGAAAGACATGTAGGGGCTAGGCCATGGATTATTGTGTATGTCAAAAGAAGAACTTTAAAGCCCGTCTGTACTAGTTTGGCTAGGAGGGATTAGACCACTCAACTCAGCTCTCAATTAACATAAGAAAAAAGATGATCATGGGGACCAATGGTCACCGATTAGGCATTGTTTTGTTATATAGAGGGAGCAAGTAGCTACAATTAGTACAGTGGGGCTTAAATCTTTTTCTTCCTTCTCGTTTGGTATTATAATGGCTATTAGTCAAATTTGACTATTGTTGCCAATTTCATCGCATATCTTTTTGTTAATGTCTTTGTAAATTTATTATTTTACTTTTGTCCAACTCATTTTTAATATAATATTAGTCATAGTCTACCCAGTGTTATGTAACAAAAAGTTAAAATTATTTCAAATTAAACCACGATCCGCACACAGTTCCAACTCACGCTGGCCCTGTCCTTTCTATGTTGCCTTCTTACCAGCCCAGCGAGTTACGTTACGCTGTACGCTTCTCGGTTGATAAACTCAACCTAGGTCACTCTGGTATAGACAAGGGGGGTCGTGTACCTGTATGTTTAGAGGGTTTATTTATTTATTTGTTAACGTATATTAGGAGAAAAACAACTACCAAAACAGGCAAAAGCAAAATACCTGTGGGCTTTATAAGTTTATATGAGTTAGTACAGGATTTTATTTATATAGTGCATGACTTTTAACTACTATTATTAGTTTATTTGTTTTAATTATTTGTTGTTGTTGTTGTTTTAACAAAAAATCAAAAGAGGTCTAAATAAGAGGTAGGCCTATACAATCAAAACTTCAAATAATCAATACGCTAATAGGCCTTTATAAAATTATACACAAAATACCTATTTTCTCTTCTATTCAGTTCAAATTGATTGCGTTTTCTGCTTTTCTTTTCTTTTTTAATTTGTTTTATATATTTTTTTGTTGTTGATTTTACTCTTTATATAATCGATTGGTTCTAAAAACGAAACGAGCAATTGCCATTTGTACACGAGAGTCACTTTTCCGTAAACATATCATAATATCCTCTTCCATGGAAATATTAACTTCTGACATTAACATGGCCCTTTCTATTAATTACTTTGGACATTCTATCAAAAAATGTCTGACCGTTTCTATTGTTGGACAGCTGTCACAGAAACCTGTGGGGGACTTCCCTGCCCAAACGTAGGAGGTCCTGGTTGAGTCCAGACACTCCCAGGCGTAGTCGCCTAAGAATAGTTTCAGTTTTTCTTCCCAATTTACAAGAATATTGTGAGATGACATTTGGCTGAAATATTTTTTAATGCCGATTGTTTATCATTCCACTTTTCTTGCTAAAGTAACATTGAACTGTACAAAATTAAACTTGTCTTTTCAAATAACGTCAATTTATTATGCATTTCAATTTCCTGAGTTAAAGCTTTTTTTGCGTAGAAGTCTGCCTTTTCATTTCCCACTATCCCACAGTGGCCTGGAATCCCTTCCAAAGAGATTTCGATCCCTCTATATTTTAATCAGGTCGTTATTATAAATATTTCTGTGACAAAGGATTCGTCACTAAAATGTTTCAAGGCTGTGAGGGCACTTAAGCAGTCACTGAAATGACTGCACCTGTATAGATATTTGTTTCTTCGATCCATTGAAGGGCAAATACAATGGCAGCCAACTCGTGTAAAATTCGCTAATCTTTTACATTGGTGTACAGAAAATTGTGGGATATAGAAAGCAGCCGAGCATTGGCCCTTCTCCGGGAACTTAGATTCATACCGTATATGCAACTGGTTCGACCATTTTAAATTAATCAATTCTAAGCTTTGTTGCTGTAGTTCATTCGGATGGTCGGCTTTTGAGATCCGAGAGCTCAACTCGGTCGAAACCAGTGGGGGGTCAAAAAGCCATGGCGGGAATGGGGATGGTATGGCAGTTTCTGTCATGAAGTTTTTTTTTTTATTTTACTCTGGCTTTTATACCCGAAAGGTTTATTAAGAAAGTCTTAAATGTTATACGATGGTGTATCGGAAGCCCGGCCAAAGAAGAGAAAGCAAAATTGGGGTTATGTGCTCAAATTTTCTGGAGAGAGTAACAAGCCTTTCAGCAGTATTCTGAATTCTTTGAATTGGAAGTAGGTATGCATGGGGAAGGCCATAACAAAATGAATTACATTAATAAAGGTGGGTGGATACAAAGGCATGGGTTAATTTTGCAGTTGTGGGTCGGTCAAGTAGTTTCCTAATTTTCCCCATTTTAAAGATTCCAACAGATACAGATTTACAGACGTTTTTAATATGCTGCTGAAATGTAAGATTTTTGACGATTTAAACACCAAGGTCTCGTACGTATTCACTACCCTTCAGCAGGGAAGTGATAGGAAGGAGTCGAATCAAGCCGCTTTCCGTTGACCCCATGCTCCAAGCGGCCGAAAAGTTGTGCGCTAATCTGCAACTGTTGACCAGGTGGTGAGATAAAAGAGCGCACGCAATATCAGGATTTAGAATTCCTACCTCAGAAAGTGGTATACAGGCAAATGTTCGCTGTCCCTTTCAATGATTTCTCATCAATTGTTGAATGTGTAAAGAGAAGAACAAGCGAACACAAACGTTTGTAATTTCATCCTTTTTTGCTAACTGCAAAAAAAAAAAAAAAAAAAAAAAACACGCGAAACACGCATTAGCAAACGTTAAGTTATTGAAGATTGTAAATCGTGGATTAAATGACGGGACATTAAAACGTGCGAAAATAAGCGCATTATCCTAAAAATTACAAGAGTTTCCATCCCTGCTTATACAGGCTCTGATGTAAGGAACTAATAACCTGGGCCCCGTCTTACAAAGAGTTGATATTGATAGCAATCGCAAGTATGTACATTAGAGATGGGAGATTGCAAAATTGTGATTGATTGGAGGACTTGCGATTGATTTGGATTAATCGTAACTCTTTGTAAGACGGGGCCCAGGTCAATGAGCGCACATGACTTTAGCATTTCGGTACTCTACAGTACTATTGATATCCATGCAAATCAATAGACAGTTTGCTAGAAGACGATTATAAAAAGGCGCTGTCAATCTTTACCCACAATACAATAAACCGAAATGTACGTGTACAAATATTTTTTGAACAAAATAACAACACGTTTTCATGTATACATTGCCAGCTAATTTTTAGGATTTTCGACAAGGCATTAATCACTTTGAACATATGTATATTAAAATGTAGCAGATGTATATAGTTTTTGTGTAGTGAAGTCATCATACAATTTTCCATTGGTTATGAAAATCTTTGTTTATGAACAACATGGCTTTAGGCTTGGAACTATTTTTCACAATTGTAATGGTTGTCATTTTGAGTTTCATCAATATTTTAAAAATTAGACACTTGGAATAAAGGTCAAATTTAAAGAAGGGGCGGGGGCATTGACAGTGAAAGCAAGAAAATGGACGAACAGCAGAATGGACGATAGAGGGAAAGAGAGAGAGAGAAAGAGAGAAGGAAAAAGAGAGAGAGAAAGAGAGAAGGAAAAAGAGAAAGAAACAGAGAGAGACAGGAAGCCTGTCAGGGAGATAAACAAGAAAAGTGAGAAAGGGGAGAAAAAGAGGGTTGGTGATACATGAGGAGAGACAGAAATGATAACATTTAACCGGCATAATAAAAACATGTTAAGATATTTAGGAAGTTGTTGAAGCATTGGTCGAGCCAGTGGTTGGGCACCAGTGGGAGAAGCCATTCAGCTAAATATTCATACATGCAAATCTGAACATTTGTTTTAGTACGAATCTTATTTTCCAAGCCTCATTGGTATTAATAACTTGAAATAACTTGACATCAAATGCCCAAGGAACACTAGTGCAATCGATGAAATATAGTTCTATTAAACTGTAGTGAAAAAAGAGAACGATTGTTTTTAAGCCGAATCAAACAAATACTGTTATTTAGATTGTTATTCATACTTCAACTAATGTACTACTTCTGTTCAACAGCGAAGGCCTTGCATGAGCAAAAGTTTTCTCGACTCACTTCGTCGTCAGCATGGGAGAACACGTAATCCAGTGTTTGTAGAGTTTAATGATCTTTCTTACCCTTATTGATCTAATTACTATTCCCCTTCTACCTTGAATAGTTTTTTGTTATAAATGCTTTTGAGCTATAAAGAAAAGACTTGTGTTCATGATGGTTTGTGCACAAGTAGTCTGTTCATTTCATTGACTGTAAAATATTGCTTCACCACCTCATGGTTTAGAGGATGTGAACGCATACAAAATAAATACACATTACCCAGAGGCTTAAGCGATATGTGTATGTAGGCAGCTCTGAAGAAAATAATTAAGTAGGTTTATTTATGACAAAACACATACAAGTAGGAGCGCCGTGGTGATACATAGAAGTCAAACGACCGAGATATAATCTGAAGAGCTTTGTCTAACGACAGCTGGTTAAGTCAAGCCACCGAGATATAATCTGAAGAGCTTTGTCTAACGACAGCTGGTCATCTGTATTGTATAGCTCTTCCTAGCGAGAGAAAACCTTTTTGTTAAGGGGGTGGATGATCATACTACCCCCTGTAACGCTTTTATTAAGATCACGAGGAACGTGAATGCGTTCATCTTATGTTAGACTATTATGATTCATCTTCATACAAATTTATTTACAAAGAGCAACGGAGCATATCTGTTGTCAACGTTCATAATATACTTTTGTGTTTGGGGGACATTTTCTTTGTTTTCTTTACTTGCCATATTCATGCACTGTATGCATGCATGTGTGAAAACTGCCCATGAATTTGTATGCAAGTTTGTGCCAAGTGAGCATCAGTTTGACGTGGGATGGCATACACACAGACGCCATCTTGAGTTGCACCTAATACACATACTACAAGAGGTTGGATGAATTGATCTTCTTCAGACAGTATCAATTATAAAAGGGACATCTAGATGATCAACTTTCTTTCTGACTTCACATTATGAGGGTCAAAATCGCAAGAAACCGGTAATTGAGGTAAGCTGTACATTTGTAAGCCTAGGTCATTTTGCTGTGTACAAGCTTGGTGTCATAGAAGGAAGTGGATGAAAAAATAGGTAATTGTGCAATAAAAGGAGAAAACAGGTGTGTGTGATGGCCTGATGGGGTATGTTGGTCTTATCTGGAGGAAGCAAGATGATAATACATCGTGAACCGTGAAAGTTTTCAGATAGATTAGGGCCTACAACATGAACAGAAATGTGATCAAAAGCTTATTCTGAGAAAAAGAGAGAAAGGGAGGGAGAGACAACTAATAACAGATAATCATAATGAAAACTTGTTAAGATATTTACAGCGTTGTAGCATAGGTCCAGCCAATGAGGGAGCAACATTGAAATAGGGGGGGGGGGAGGGGGAAGGGGCGCAACATACATTGCTACATGCCAAAGTTGACATTCAGCTAAATGTTCATCCATGTAATTTACAATATTCGTTATAGTGAGAATCTTGAAATGATTTGAAAATCAAATACTCAAGGAACACTAGTATACCAGATATTGAAATCATATAAAAAGAGGAAGGATTGGGAAGAGATAGAGAGAGAGAGAGAGAGAGAGAGAGAGAGAGAGAGAGAGAGAGAGAGAAAGAGAGAGAGAGAGAGATGGGTGATGATTTATGACAGATTGAAGGGGGTAGAGAAAAAAAGAGGATAAAGTAGGAGAGAGATGAGGAAAACAATTGGGAAGGAGAGAGAGAGATAAATAGAGAGAGAGAGAGAGGGAGGGAGAGAGAGAGAAAAAAAATAGAGAGAGAGAGAGAAACAGAGAGTGAGAGAGGGAGAGAGAGGGAGAGGGAGAGAAAGAGTGGTGGAGCAAAAAATGATAAATAATCATAATGAGAACATGGTTGGTTGGTTCTTCGTTTAGATGGCGCTCTTCAATCTCAAAGATTATTTGCGCCAGTCAATTTCGTGTATAGCTTTGGCGTGGGCTTCGGAAATCAAGCCCACGAGCGACTTTCCTTGGTGAAATGAAATTAATAGTGATATGGTTTTATGTTGTAGCATGGGTCCAGCCAACGAGGGGGCACTAGTGAAATAGGGGGAAAGAGGGGGGGGCAACGTGCACTTAGGTACATCCTATTCGGCGACATGTCCATACACTGTTGGTCATAATGGTGGAATAATTTTGTTTACCCCAATTTATGGAATGATTTTGAAAATTATTTATTCCTAATAAATCTAGATATAAGTATACATTCTCAAATGTTATTAAATAATAATTTGTGCGTGTTTGTTTTGCGTGAATGCTAGAGCATGACTTGTGTGTGCTACTATGCTAATCAATTAGGGTACCTACGTCCTTAAGTCATAACTGACAGTAATGGGGATTAATGCCACACAAAAGCGCATCAATATAGCACATTAACACGGTTTTGATGCTGGGGGCTCACAGTCAGGCGCGTACGCTGGGGGGGGGGGGGGGGGGTTAAACCACCCCCTTTAACTTTGTGTATGTGTTTGTTTTTTAGGAAAGCTCCCCTTCCCCTTTTTTTTTATTAAAACAAAAATAATAGAAAAATGTGTCGTAATGGATGACCCCAAAAAGCCGACCTTACCGCCCCCCCCCCCCCCCCCCCCCCCCCCCCCCCCCCCCCGCCAACGAAACGAAATATCGACCGGCCAAATTTTCAAATGTTGAAACCCTCAAAAAAAAAAAATATGACATCTTTCCCCCCCCCCCCCCGCTTATTCAGCGGCTGGCTCAGTCGTTTTTTCGGCATGATTTTCACATTATAACCCCCCCCCCCCTCGATAAAAAATCCTGCGTACGCGCCTGCTCACAGTAACGAGGCCATTGCTTAGCCACTGAATCATGACTGTACGCAGCGGGGGGTAAGGTACGGGGCCGCCCCCCCCCACAAATACAACAAAAATGCAATATATCATCAATAATTCATTGCATTTTGCCCCGATCCCCGACATAAAAAATCCTCTATGTTGGCACGCTTTGAACCATAATGCATGGCCCTAATCATCTATAAGTGTGGTGGAGATCAAAATGAAATAGGTCAGATTCTGAAATAGTCATGCGGCCGAGAAATAACTCTCAGGAACTTTGACTAACTACAACTGGTTATCTGCATCTAATAGTTTTTTTCTAGCACAAGAAAACAAGTTTGTTTGGGGGGGGGGGGGCTGGATAAACGTACTCTCCCCTGTAATGCCTCTATTGAGATCACAAGGCACGTGAATGCATTCATCTTATATCAGCTGATATGATTCATAACATATTAATCTATTTACAAAGACCAACGGAGCATATTTTTTGTCAATGTTCATATTTTGTGTGTTTGGGGGACAATTTCCTTTTTTTTCTTCTTAACTTGCCATATTCATGCACTGTATGCATGCATGAGTGAAAAATGCCGTTAAATTTGTATGCAAGTGTTCGCTAAGTGAGCAACAGTTTGACGTGGAATGGCATACAAATATACACCTTCTTGATTAGCACCTAATACACATGTAACAATTGGTTAGATTTTCTTTTCTTCTTCAGACAGTATCAGTTATAAAAGGAGCATCTATTATAGACGAACAACTTTCTTTCTGACTTCACATTACGAAGGTTAAGATCGCACGAAACCGGTAAATAAGGTGAGCTATACATGTTATAAGATGGTTAGAAGAATCCCTGCAATCTGATTGGTCAATTACCATGTAGTTATTTTTACTGGATTTTTTTTTTTTTTACTACATGGATTTTTTTTTTTTTTTACTACTGGATGCACGCGATATCAACACGATATATGCGATATTGGAATCGATAACACCGATATCCCGATTGTTTGCACTTTCTCTCTTCTCCGATCCACTAAGGAAAACAACCAAACCCAAAACAAGATGGCGAAATCGCGATGAAGAAGAATTATCTAAAATGTTGGATGATTCAAATGCGACTAGCATGAACATTTCAATTAAAGTATGGATTCTCAAAGTTGGAAAAGTTTGCACAGATCAAGAACGTCAATTTAGAAGACATTTTTACGCCAGAATTGGACAAACTGTTATCGTTCTAAGCTAAGTTATATGCTTATAATAATCTGTACATAGACTGACTGTGAGTTGTAAACCTAGACTTTAGTACCTTCGCTGTGGCATACAACGCCACTTTTTGAATCACTGTACTTTAGATATCTGTAACAAATTTTAATTTCTCGAGGCTGATTTGGTGAAACTGAAGCGAGAGGGGCCGGGAAGCACCACACATAAAGCTTCAATTTCTGTACTTGATATGGACAAGATCCAGACCTCTTCTAATTAAGATTGCACCTCCCCAAAACTCAAAAAAGCTTGCAAAATCAGTTATTGATTTAATGACTTCATGTAAAGGTCAGTTAGGCCTGACTTTATTTTGTCATTCTATATTGTTTAAATCCATTGCACTAAGTAACAACAGACAAATTATGCAAATTTATAAATCATGCGTCGGGTAAAAAAATCATGCATCCGGTAAATCTGTAAAATAACAACATTTTGTATTTTTGACAATTTTTGGGGCCCCATCTTATAAAACAGATGATGCACAGGTTTAATTCGTGGGTCGGTGGAATTGTGTGCACGCGGTACCTTTGATTTTGGTCTAAAACCATTCAAAGGTACCTTGTGCACACAATCCCTACCGACGCACTCAAACCTGTGCATCATTTGTATACTATGAAGGTCACTTTGCTGTGAACAAGGTTGTTTACATGCAAGAAAATGGATGAAAACTGTTTAAAATCGTTAAAATGCAATAATAGGAGAAACATGTGTATGCATGTGAGATGTAGTATCTTTGTCTTATCTGGTAGAAGAAAGATGAATACATTTGATACAATTATGTGAAAGTTTCCAGATAATTAGGGCCTACTACATGAAACGAAATGCGAATTATATCTTTCACTGTGTGTCTCCTTTCTTTCTACCTTTCTTCATCTCTCACTGCCCCAATTGCGTCATGATTCGGGCAGCATGGCGCCCATACAAAACCTTTTTATTGTATTTCTATATCGAAATGAAATTCATGCAAAACAATGTATATTTTGTTAACCCCTCGCTTGCTTTACTTCACGCAAATTGATAAATCAGGAGGATGCCTGACAGCGAGATGACTTTTTTTTTCGCCTGCTCGCAATATTTGGGATCCGGATAGTATCTTTTTAGACGAGACGCCCTCACACGGCTCTCACACGAGAATGTGCCAGCACGCGTCTTAATTTTTCGTACCACGGCGAGCCCAGATTCCAGTATGAACTCATTTTCATACAGAACAAGCTAGGAAAGCTTGCAAAGAGGTCACAAACAATTGGACTTTGACTATTTATTGCTTTGCCTCACTATTTATAAAGGCACAAAAACTAAATAAACTGGGATTTGAACCCTCACGTCAACTCCAAAGTTCTATTAGTGTCACTCTTTCTTTACCGATTGAGCTAACGATGAGTTGATAAAAAATTGATTTTTATAATTACTATCACCCTATTAACCACCCTACCGGATTCCACGTGCGCATTCGCTGGTTTCCTTCGCGAGTTCGCATGCGTACGAAAAAATAAGACGCTGCTGGCACGCCTCTTTGCACTAGTGATAAAAACAAATCCTCTGATGAACTTTGGATTAGGTTGACGTGAAAACTCCTAAAGTGGTACTGCGAATTAAAAAAGGTGATCTCGAAGTCTTACTACTGGTGCACCCCACCAACCCTCCTCAATAATTGAGTCCACAATATGCTACTGGGTTCAACAACAGGAAATTTGATATAAGATCATCTTTTCCTTGCATTTATAAAGCGTTGCATACATTGCTCCACAAGTCTCGGCCACTTGATAACATCACTTCAGAAAGAGACTGCTCTATTATCGCGCACACAGTCTTATACCTACGTAAACAATATGATCCACATGTCAATTTCGCATGAACTATCATTAGTTATCGTTTATGAAAATATATATCAATAGATATTTGAATTAATTTTTTCTAGTCAAGATAATCTTGTAGAAAGTACATGTTCTTTTGGCGTAATATGGTTACATTATGAACAATTAGACTGAAATAAACAATTAGTTTCATTATAATTGCATCATTGGCGGTTGTTGCAGATTCAAGACCAGGTAATAATTATTGTTTGTATAAATGAATGCGAAAAACAGTGAATTACCTTAATAAAGTGATTCCAAAGCAATTTCGCAGAAGGAAATATTACGTTGCCATCCATTAATATTCATCTGATTTTAAATGTGGATAAGTAAATTTTCATGTAGGGCATTGTATTAAATCTATTATATTCTCTTCCTCTCGCTCGGTCCTTCTCTTCCTCGATCTCTTTCCTCCATCCTTCTCTCTCTCTCCCTTCCTAATCCCGCCTACCCCTCCCCGCCCTTTGCATTATTGGTCCCTGGACTACTGCATTGTACATTGTATATGTTGATATTAATAAACCGAAATTGAATTGAATTGAATTGAACCCTCTTTCTACCCCCCCCCCTCTCTCTTTTGATAATTGTTCTTTCTACAGGTCAATAGTCTGGTCAGGATGGCGGATAACTTCAGCTCTGCAGAAGACATCTGTGAAGGAGAGAACTGTGAGGCAATCGCAGATGTGACGTACTACGTGAAGGAGAAAAAGAAGCTCTGCCATGACTGCGCCTCCAAAGGGGGATGCATCGGAAAAGCAAGAAAGGGTGGGCCCAATCTGTATTGTGTGAGGCATGATAAAGATATTGATTTATATTGTAAAACACATGATGTAGCACTGTGTTATTCATGCGCACATATAGATCATCATGATCAGTGTTGCGTGCGACAGGATATCGAGGGCGCCATCATGGACAATAAAGCGAGTCTAACCACTCTGAAAGAAAAGGCAAAAGACAAATTAAAGCTTTGTCGAGTTTATGGAGATCAGATTCAACAGTGTAGGAAAGACACCGACACCCATCTACAAGCTTTGCAAGATGAAGTTGATTTGGTAATCGATGAGGCGATCAAAACAGACAAGGACAAAGAGAAGGAGGATGCTGCAAAAATCAACCAGGAAATTGATGAGAAGAATCAGAAACTTCAAGAGGAGATTCAGAAGATAAATGAAAAGATTCAAAAGAACGATGAGGAGAGAGAGAAGCGACTTGAACTTAACCGTTCAAATGCAGCGAAAAGACGAGAACCAATCGACAATAAACAACATGGTCTTCATACAGACATTCAAAACATCGCTGAAGAGAAAGAGATAAAGATTGGTGAGTTGGAGAAATCAATGCAAGATGACACAAAAACCACAGAGAATACAATACAGACACTTGACACTCTCCCAATCTCCCACTTGACGCTCTCCCATTTCTTGTGAGACTTTTAAACCAGAAATGATCCTTGATTATCACAAACTTGTTTTTACCCTATTTATGAATCTGGCTTACATTAGATTAATAGTATAATTTACATTCGTACATATTAAATTTCACTAGCTATGACTGTATATTAAACATTTATTATATTTTCAATAGAAACGCCGAACATTTGTATACACTCATTTAATTTAGTGTTTTTTAAGTTTAATAATACCCTTTTTAATCAATTAATTATTTGATACAACCCAAGCATACTTTATGGACCACTTGCCAGTCTACTTCTTATAATTCAGAACTTATAGCTATGTAATCACTTGTGAATTTGTATTGATTTTTCATGTTTGTTCCTTTTGATTATACCTTTACTTGTATATTTAATAGAAAACTCATAACTCCTTTAATTAAACTTAATGAAAAATAATCATTTTTTATCTTTTTTACCATCAGATACCACTCAAGTCACTTTACACAAAGCTTTAAATTTTGATGAAAGTGGATAATAATATTTATATTTAAATTTTAAATTCCAAAATTGTCTTTGTTTGTAAGCAATATTTTTATAATGTTAGCATTATACATGTATAGTTACTTTCATTTGCTTTAATATTTATTTTTTACAATATTGTGTATGATTCTTTTTAATTTGTATGATGTTTTTAACGTTTTGAATTTTGTAAATTCATTTGTAATTTAGCCTTTGGCTACAATGAGTGAATAAAATACCTTGAATTGAAATTGAAATTGACACAGTACTTGAAGTTGATAAAAATGTCGTCAAAGATGGGCATCGCGTAAAAACATCAGTGAGTGATGAATTAAAAAAGCCACTGAATAAGGGTGAGGTGAAACACATCACTGGTGCCATAACAGGTGTGAGGTTTGTGAAGGGTGATGGGAGAAAGAAGTATGATGGGAGGATTGATGGGTATGTTGGGGAGTGGAAGCTCATTGGTACAATCAATGTCAAAGATAGGATCACATTCCCGCGCATTGTAGGATGCATAGATGAATGCAACGTGATCATTACATATTTAATAGTAGGTAGCCAACATACATACATGATAGATATGAACACTAAACACGGTCAGAGAGTGATAACCAGTAGTGATACATCATTGGTTTTCTCCTGTGCATTGGTGAATGATGACAAGGTAGTATGCGGTAAATACAGTAAAGGGTGTACAGGGAACAGTTTGACGGGATGCATCGGTGTGTATGACAGACAATGGAAGCACATTAATGACGTCACAATACCAAGAAACACAACGCGTGATTTCACATGGGTGGATGTAGCTGCTGACCAGGATGGGATGATCATCGCTGCTGAGTGGGATCAGTCTAAGATATACGTCATCAACCCAGCTGATGGTAAGATCATGAATACCATCACATGTAAACAGAATATAAGGATGCGTGGTGTACTATCATCAGGACACATCATCGCTCAACCCTGCCCAGTAGATCACAGAGTGCTCATCATCGACAGACAGGGTGCTCAAAGGGAAATCCCCCACAGTGATGTCATCCTGAATGCCTGCATCGATCCTATGACAGACGACCTCTACGTCGTGACATCAGATGATGAGTCCGAGACGTGTGTGATTGATCAGGTGATGAGTGGGGGTGATATGAAGAAGAGAAGAGTAACATCATTCCCTCTATTAACAAAACTAGTTCCAAGGAAGAGTTTCATTATATCATCTCGCGTGATGATGATGTCATCAGGGAAACTGATTGCTAGCGATGGAGACAACATTCTCCTATTCAAAAACAGTTTTATCCTCTGTAGGAGGAAAGTTGGCTCAGTCGCTAAAGCCTGCGTTTTGTGTTAACTAGCCTCCTCCCCTTGGTCATGGACGCAGTCTATGTTAATCGGAAAACACTCCGTCTCTCGGATATGACTTTAAATGGAGGCCCCGTGTAGAGAATAGTCACTACCTTTGCACGTTAGGAACCCACTGTGCTATTCGTATGAGAGTTGGGGGTAAACCCCGGTGTAGCGGTCCACCTGCACATACCCCAGTATAGTAATATAATACTCTGTAAAGAGGTATGTACTAAAAATGGAAGAAGAAGAAGAAATCAAATACTCTTTGATTACACTTGTCCATGTTCACAACGTATACACATGTATGTACATAAACATATGATATGGCTATCATCACTAGCATCCCAATAATTACATGTAGATATCAATATGTGTGTTATAACATGTGCCTAGATTAGCCATGAGTATATGATATACAGAATAGAAAATGTTCACATCGATTAATGAATCGTTTTCAAAAGGCAAAAGACAAATTAAAGCTTTGTCGAGTTTATGGAGATCAGATTCAACAGTGTAGGAAAGACACCGACACCCATCTACAAGCTTTGCAAGATGAAGTTGATTTGGTAATCGATGAGGCTATCAAAACAGACAAGGACAATAATACATGTAGATATCAATATGTGTGTTATAACATGTGCTTAGATTAGCCATGAGTATATGATATACAGAATAGAAATGTTTACATCGATTAATGAATCGTTTTGATAGTTTCTTTATTTCAAAGAAAAGTATAGCAATACATACAATTGTATATAAAGTACCGTTAAAAGTTACCACATCCAGGATTCAAGCCAGGTTTGAAGTAGCAAGAGAAAAAATACAAAGATGCATAATGAAATTCGAATCAAAGTGACTTTAAGAAAATATATACCACTGATATTAACGAAATATAATTCTGATATACGATGCAAAGGCTCATAACATCTGTTAATCCGTGTATTATACCAAGATTAAAGAAAATTCAAATTTAGACCTTTTCATTTTCCTCTGTTACATGCTGATCTAGGTCAGTTAAGAAAATAACCTTTTTCTGACTCTCTCAAGCGTTCTGCAAAGGAGAGTCCACACAGGAGAGCCCTCTTTAATTCTGTCTCCATCCCTCTATATCTTTAGCCTTCTTCATCACTATGTCATATGATCTGCCACCTGACAAATAAGAATTGGGATAAAATAAATGTTATCAAATAAAATAAAAAGTTGCACAATCTGTCTATCTATTAATAAACTGTTCACATCACACATGCTTATTCAGTATAATAATTATGTGCATGTAAATAGCTGCATTATAAGGAATATTGATCAGATTTAATTTGTTTTATTGTTCTTGTTTGTTTCATTTTGCTATTAAGATATATGTTAATCTGTTCCATGTACATGTAATTTTTTAAAGCAAATCATATAATGAAGGATAATTTACCCCTGTGTTATGAGACTCGTGTATGTTATCCGTTTAGAGCCAGAAGGGATTAAACTGTGAGTATGTACTCAGTTACTACCTTTATGGCTCCAAAAACACAACATGTACACTATATACGCTCATCGATAAGTACATGTACATAACTCCATTATATAAATACATTTATATGTACAGTCGTTTTAAAGTTTGATATCTATTGATCTTTTTCAGCTAGGGAAAATCAAATCAAATGTGTTTTATAGTCATGAATAACAAACTATACCTTTTTATGACGACTGTGGGGGAAAATGGCAGGCCGAAACATTTTCTACCAATCCTAGAACTGAGAACAAATTTAATGATACACCTTTTGTCTTGTCGATATCTCTAACAAACCCTTACATAAATATGCTTTACATTGCATGGCATTGTAATATATCATGCACCAATATGCATTTCAGATATGCTCAGAACATGTAAATGTGTATATAACTGCATATACCCAGTATTCGTAAGATTAATTTTTTTTTTAAATATTTCTTTATATGAGACTCTTTGTTATAAGTAGTTTGATTAAAGCGATGCTAAAACTAATGGAATAAGTTCCAGCGTTTTGTCATCAAACACACTCACAACATGTAAATAACTGTATTATACTGAGTTTTTGTATGATTCAATTTGTTGACTTTTTATTTTTCTATGAGATATATTGATATGTGTACTAAAAATGTTTGATAGAATGAATCATATAACCATTTGATGTGTGCTAAGTCTCGTTATCTATTGAGAAAATATTTACAGTTATACTTGTATTCTTTGAAATGTACAAAGTAGCAAAATACCCAGTAGTTGTAAAATGTACACGGTCGTTTTTATATTTTTGGTACGAGTCAGGTAAACCTTCGATATGTAATTTTTTTTTGCCGGGACAAACGACATAACATTGAAATGAGTTGTAGTCGTGTTATCTAACACACTCTCAACATGTGAATAGATTTTAATACAAAAGGTTTTGGCATCATTCGATTTTATTGATTTTAATTTTGCTATGGGGTAAGTTCATATATGTAACCATTCAAATTATTATTCAATAACGTCTGAGAATGTATACTATTATCTAGATCTATTAGGAATAAATCATTGTCAAAATCATTACATAAATTGGGGTAAAATAATTATTCAACCATTATGACAAACAGTGTATCACGCAAGGATATGCATTACAAATATGCTCAGAACATGTAAACATCTATATAGCTGCATAATACCCAATATTTGTAAGATAAAATTTGTTGATTTATAAGTTTTCTATGAGACTCTTTGTTGTATATGCAATTTGATACAAGCGATGCTAAAATAATGAAATCAATTGCAGAATTTTGTCATTTAACACAGTCACTTCATATAAATATCTGTATTATACTGAGCTTTTGTATGATTCAATTTCTTGACTCCTTTATTTGCTATGAGTCAACTCGTATATTTGATAGAATTAATAATATAACAATTAAATATGTTGGAAAGTCTCATTATCTATCGAGTCAATATTTACATTACTTGCATTCTTTTAAATGTACAAATCAGCATAATACCCAGTATTTGTAAATTTCAACATTGTTGTTTTTATTATTTTGGCTTGGTATGAGACAGGTAAACCTTTGATATGTAATTTTGGCCGAGAAAAACGATATAACATTGAAATGAGTTGAAATCTTGTTATCTAAGACACTCACAAAATGTACATAGATATTTTCACCACAGTTTTTTGCAACATTCGATTTTTTGGTGTTGCTTTGAGATAAGTCGAAATGGGACAAGAAAACAGGTTCCAAAATCACCTTATCTATCAGGAATTTAGTTAAAAAAAGATTGTATTACATTGTAATCAATCAGTGCAAAATATGCATAACAATATGCTCACAACATGTGGTACAGAATACCCAGTATTTGTAAGATTTTTTTGGTATTTTTTCTATAAGACTCTTTGTTGTGTATAATTGTAGTTTGATAAACCCGATGCTAACATAATAAAATTAGTTGTAGAGTTTTGTCATATAATGCACTCACAACATGTAAATAGCTGCATAATACCAGGTTTCTGCAACATTCGATTTGTTGATTTGTTTTGTTGTTGCTATGACACATGTTCATTTATGTATTTAACAAGTACATATGATGGAATGAATAGTACAACAATTAGATAGGTTGCAAAGTCTCGTTATCTATCACAAATTATTTACATTAAAACCATGCTCATATTGTACATAAATGCATAAAACCCAGTACTAGTAGTACAACAATT